GCTTTTTTACCGAATTAATCATACAATTATTAGATGACAAGATAGAGAAATCCTCACTTTCTAACTTCACATTTTCTAAATTAAATATTCGTAAAACAATCTATGGAATTATTATCGTGCTCACAATAGCAATCAGTTTCAGCCTTTTAATTCAATTTGGAAAGATTACAGTCTCAATTGAGCATAATTTTACTTCCATAACATTCTTCACTTGGTAGGTACGATAATTTTAGCGTTAGTGTATCGTAGTAATGTAGCAGGGTATGTACTGTACAATGTACATGTACTCCAAGCTCAATATAGAAGCGAATTTATTCCTTACTTACAATGTATATTTTATAGTATAAAACGATGAGATAAAATGTGCATCTTTGCTATCTTAATCTATTAATAGAATTAGACTACAAATAAAGCATTTTTACTGATTTATTAATGAAGTAAATATCACTACGTTAAATAACTATAATTTATACCATAGGATTGCGGCTTCGACTACCTCACTCACCTTTCCAATCCATGCCTTGGTTTTAATGATCTTCAAGGGTGAAACCTTACGTCAGATATACAAGTATGTATAATAGCAATTAATATGATAAAATAATAATCTATGTACTATGCCTTGTATCTAAATTACATATTAACTAATTAAATATGCTTGATAGACTACTGCATGTATATCATATACTCATTATATTGATAAACTGACACTTATATTTAATCGGTTAAAAATGAATTAACTAAGCTTAAATTATTTTTGATGTAATTTTGTTATCTAGAGAATCAATTAAAATTTATCCACGTAAAGACTTAAAAAAATTTTTTGGCTTCGGTTACTACCATTAGCCATACTTACGAATTTAATTGTGGCGTTCACCTATTACCCTCTAAACTTTACGGCTCCAACCGATATTACGGCTATTTTTTCGTCAGTACTAAGCATGGTGTATATTTTATCGGTCCTATTTTTGAAAGAGCCATTTGTATTACTTAGGGTAAGTATTCTCGTAGTTCTAAGATTATAAAAGTAATACATAATTTTAAAGATAGAAATATCATTTAAATTAAGGGCTTTTAATTAAGAGTAATAGTACTTTGTTCGTGAGATCAAACACGTTATACGGTATCGATTGATAGTAAAAATATCACTTCTAAAATATGATTACTTCTTAGGCGTTAGCGGTATGCCTATCTACGACAGGTGTAGTACTGTTCGCTTTTGATGATGGTTTTGGCTCTTTCGCTACCTTGGGTGTTATTCTATCAGTATTCTTTACTCTTACCGCAGCTTGTTTTCGTGTAAGTTATAGTAAAATTTATAATTACTTATTAACGAACTTTATATATATGTTACTGCTTATCTTTATTAAAGTGTTACAGTTTAAGTACTGAAAGGTATGTAATATTTATTAGGTATACGAAAAGTATTCTATTGGCGATGCATCGCCAATTCAAGCATCGATGCTACTGACAATTATTAGCATTATTAATTTCTTGTTGGGATGGATACCTGTTGTTATATTTCATTATACGGGATTTGAAAAGCTTACATGGTCTGACATTCCTTGGGAACCTCTAATGATTACAAATTTATTTAATATGTTACATAGCTGCTTTGTTGTTATTGGAGTCGCTGTTACCTATCCTGTATTTATTTCGCTAGGTTCTCTCTTTGGAATACCGATTAACGCAGTTATTGACGCGATCTTCCGTAACGAATCGTTTTCGGCATTAAAAATAGTGAGCACGCTATTACTTGCTGTAGGATTCTTAATTTTATTAATACCTTTGGAAAAGGCTAAATCGATATCTAGAACGGTAGTTAAATTATTAACTTGCAGGCATGGAAAAGCATAAGGGTTACTATTACTCTTGCAAAATCCTGTTTATTGACAATCGCTTTATCGAATAGTAATGAAATTACATCTTAGAGATAAAAATAAGCATATGCTTTAGCAGTCGACAGCAAATTTGACAATACTTGCAATGACTATTATAGATTGTAACATCGGTTTGTTCTTATATGCTGCAGCTTTCTATTGCATTTATTGCAGTATTTAGTAATCAATTAAATTTTTATAAGTATACACGTAATTTCTATGTTTATATGTTGTGCTACGAAATGAATGTTGGTTGAAGCTAATGCCATGTATTTCATGATTGATTATCATAAATAAACATGCACTATAAGGTAGGCTAATTTTAAGGATAGTAAAATAAGCTTGTCGTACGTATGATCATCGTGACCGTAAACCTTGTTTTAATTCAATAAACACCCAAATACACACTCTATTATTCTTTCTCTCTCTATCTCTCTACTCACCAACCATCCTTGAATTATCATGGCTACAGTTGATCTGCATGTAGAGCTAGACGATCTTCTACAACTCAGAACATCACATACCGTGCACTATGACATCTATATTATATTATTGTTAATTAATCATTTCGATTCTGGAAAGTGCAGTATATGTTATATTTCACGCAGTTAAGGTAATTATACATTATGCAATGCATTTCAGGGTCATATACCATTAGTTACAGAACGATTTTTCCTTTACATAATCATGTCTTGCCAATTAAATAGCGAGATCAATTCTGAATTTACTATCTCGCGAAAATAATGTGATTTGTATTAGAATTAGATATTTATAGATTTTATGTTAGCGCTATGTTGGATCGGTCGCGAGACTGTTATTTAACTGCGATGATTGGGCTCAGATTGGTCACACCGTAGGCCAGGAATTACCTACTTAGCGGGAGGTGAAGTTGTGAGCCCAATGGGTAACCTGATTGGCTCCGAAAGGCCAAAACAAGGGTCAAGAGGAAGAAAATAAGGTGTGGCTAGCGATGGTCATAGTTTATAGTGAAATATTAATAAATGATAGTTCCCGTATGGGAATATTTGTGTTAGAGTTTTGTTCAAAATATGTTGACAAATAAGATGGGCCTGGATAGTATGAAAGGATCTTAGAGAGAGAGCTAAAGTAGCCTCTCAGATTTGCCAAGTTGAGGTTACTAGGCTAACGTTCTACTATTAGCTATAACCTTTTTATTGCTAATATTTTGTAACCTTTTTATGTATATAATAAAGCTATTCTTATCCTAAGGCACTCAGTCTCAGCATTACTGAGAACCAGTAGTTCGGAATAGTTTAAGAGCAACCATTATTACACTCGCCACCTGTTCATAATTCGCACTTCTAATTTAAGGCGTCATGATATAAGTCTCGCAGTACTAACATGCTTAGCACAAACTATACGTACAGTATCTCGGAATCTTAATGTAC